CAAGATCACGTTGGCCTTCTGTAGATGGAGCCTGCAATAGAGAATCGGAGAGAGGGAGTTCGTGTGTACGAAGACGAGAGAGAGAGTTTGTGTGTATTAAGACCGGATGAAATTGTCGAACTGAATGCACATAATTTTGACATGCAGCTTCCCATGTTCTTTTCTCATCTTCCATTGCCTTCTATGAATTAAATTATCTAATAATAATAGCAAATTGTTGTGGTTTTTATTGGAGTCCTTTTTATTGGCCCTCTGGTTTTTCATTTGCAAATGGGTTGTTTGGTTTCCCAAAAATCCCAATGCTTAGCTTGATATGAATCCCAAATTTGAACTTTTGGGAGATAATTTTATGGATATATACTGTTATTGAATCTTTTTGGATATATAAGTCCTTGATTATACATCCTCATTTCTATAATGTCACGAATTGGTTTATCCGTTTGTAAAATTTGGAAATGCCGGTTTCATGTTAGTTTTAAGTCAAAATAGTTTTTCTATAGGAATATGTCTATGTACACATTATTTTGGTGTAGTATTTTCTCATACTCAGGTTTTAAAATCTTTAATGCAGCATAGTTTTCTACAATGGCTTAAAAAACGGATCGGTGACCCGGATCGAGTTTCCAAAAAACCGATCCGGATTGGCGATTCGGATCGGGAATCGGGTGAATCGTCGGAATAAAGCTTAAAAAAAATCCGAAAAAATTATTAAAATTCACTATAAATATTTTTTTTTAGGAATTCAATAAGAAATGAGGGTACCCCATTAAGAATTTTCATGTTTTTGAATGAATATGCGAATATTGATATGTTCTTTCCCTGCATGAACAGCCATTCAGCATTTAATTTACATCACACAAAAGGATAAACATATAATTATCATGGAATAAGTATATCAACATACGTGGACTACAATAAAGCATAAAATTAGTAACATATGATCTAAAAATAAAATGATAGACGACATTATTGTTCTTCTTGGTCACGTTGGTGCCATTGATTGAATTCGTTTAACAATTCATTGATTCGATCTAAAAACGAATCATCGATATTTACAGGCGTCTAACTATTCCCAAATCTCTGAGTGTTAGTGTTTTGTTGTGTTCCCAATCTAAAATCCCCGAAGATTGTCCATCCTTCATGCTCACCTGCATTGTCGTGCTCATCCCTATACTGTCGCTGTTGGGACTCGATATATGAATAATATGGCTGGGATAGGGTGGCCTCAGAATCATCATCTCTCTCATTTTCTCTTTGAATAATATAGATTAAAAAACAAAAATAACAAATTTTCAAAAAAATCGATCATGGATTAAAAAAAAAATCACAAATTTTCAAAAAATTCTATCATGGATTACAAAAAAAATTCGATCATTGATTAAAAAAAAAATCACAAATTTTCAAAAAATTCTATCATGGATTACAAAAAAAATTTGATCATGGATTAAAAAAAAAATCACAAATTTTCAAAAAATTCAATCATGGATTACAAAAAATTCGATCATGGATTACATAAAATTCGATCATGGATTACAAAAAAAACAAAAAACTCAATCGTGGATTACAAAAAAGAAAAAACAATTCGATCATGGATTACAAAAAATTCAATCATGGATTACAAAAAACTCTGTCATGGGTTACAAAAAAAGCAAAAAACAAAAAATTCGATCATGGATTACAAAAAAAAAACAAACATTTCGATCATGGATTACAAAAAAAAACAAACATTTTGATCATGTATTACAAAACATGCGATCATGGATTACAAAAAATTCTATCATGGGTTACAAAAAAAAAAAAAAATAACGATCATGGATTACAAAAAATTCGATCATGGATTACAAAAATTACTATCATGGGTTACAACAAAAAAAAAAAAAAAAAAGTTACGATCATGGATTACAAAAAAAAAAACAATTCGATCATGGATTACAAAAAAATCGATCAAGTATTACAAAAAAATCGATCAAGTATTACAAAAAAATCTATCATGGATTACAAA